CTCACACACACATGTGAAACGCTCTCACACACACATGTGAAACGCTGAGTTCAGTATTGAATTAATTTGCATTTCGGTTCAAAAAGGAAGGCCTTCCTGTCACATGAAGGAAAATCAGGACATTCTGATGTAGAGTTTCAAAATAAAAGACCAGCTTTGAAATCTCTATTATATATGAACAACCAAAACTCCCCAGTATCATAGACTTATTTCACTCCAGGGTGAATGATGCTATCACCCTGGAGTGAAATGAGTCTTTGATACTGGAGGGTTTTTGTTTTATTCTTATCTAAAAACAGAGGGATGACGGCTCATATAATAGAGATTTCAAAGGTCTTTTATTTTGAAACTCTACACCAGAATGTTCTGATTTTCTCTGAGTGGGGTGTCCTGCTATCACCCTGAAGTGAAATAAGTATTTGATGATTGACAGTTTTGTATTTATTCTTATCTAAAAACAGAAGGCCCATATGAGATTTCAAAAGTATTTTATTTTTAAACTCCTTAAGTTTTACATTCACTCAGTTATAATGTGTTAGTTATACGTAGTTTGTTTTAAATGATTATTGATCACATTATATTGTACATATTTCTTAATTTAATCTCCAGTATATATGAATATGTTTGGTATATTTGTTATTGACAGAGTAAGCACTTTTATTTTGAAGGCAGTTTTTCCAGGCCTCTACCGTAATGCATAGGATATTCGCGCACCGCAATATAACATGCGGGCGGCTGGCTGGCTTGACCGCAGTAGAATAAAAGTGTATACATTCGATTAAGAAATGCTTTCATTCTTCAATATGGAAGAAAAAGTTTAAAAAAAACTCAATGCAGGTAACACAATAAGATGTCATACATCGGAAATGTCGGAAATGACTAGCATTTATCATCTTTTCTCTTTGGTCTCTTATCTTGGATTCTCCATTATAATGCTTTTGTGATCTTTGTATTTATTGTTTCCCCTCAACACCACTAAATCAATTGCAGAGCAAGAGCCAAGAGTTGTTGCTTGATATCGGGGTGCACAGTCTCTCCCTACAAGGAGGAGCTGTAGTGGGCCGTTGCGGGACGGGGAAAGAGGGGACGACAAGCTGACCATCCATGGTGTTCCCACTTTGCAAGCTCCAACAGTTCCGTTTGCGGGCCCGGTTATGCCACGTTCGATAGCGTTCCGAAAAAAGTCTCAGCTGAGGCCAGGATATTACTTAACAACGCTGCATTGCATTCAGTTTAAGCTTTTTGCAGGCTGCTGAGCAGACATGATGGAATGGAAACGAGCGCAAACGGAAAGACGAAAAAAATTTTCTTTTCAAACTGGAGATCCTTCCGTTTCAACGTGAAAATTCCCTCTCACACAACTTGTGTGTGTGTGTTTGTGTGGTGTGTGTGTGGTGTGTGGTGTGTGTGTGTGTTGTGTGGTTGTGGTGTTTGTGTGTGTGTGTGTGTGGTGTGTGTGTGTGGTGTGTGTGTGTGTGTGTGTGTGTGTGTTGTGGTGTGTGTGTGTGGTGTGTTTGTGTGGTGGTGTGTGTGTGTGTGTGTGTGTGTGTGTGTGTTGTGTGTTGTGTGTGTGTGTGTGTGGTGTGTGTGTGTTGTTTAGGCTGTTGCATTAATCGGTATTTTTAATTGCGGATTATGGTTTGCGACGATTATGAAAAACAGCATAATTTACAAAATACGATTATTTTGCTGGGGTGCGCTTTTCGCCCCTCCCTAAAAGGCCCACTGGCACGTGGGAGTGACATGTGGGCTTTTAGGAGGGGCGGAAAGCGCACCCAGCAAAATAATCGTATTTTTTAAATTTATGCTGTTTTTCATAATCGTCGCAAAAACCATAATCGCAATTAAATATATACGATTAATTGCACAGCCCTAAACCACACACACACCACACACACACACAGCACACACACACACACACACACACCACACACACACACACACACAGCACTACACACAACACACACACACACAACACACACCACAACACACACCCACACACACACACACCACACACACACACACACACACAGCATCTACACACATCACACCACATCACACACACAACACACATCTCCCACATCCACCTCTATCACTACACAACACATCACACACACACACCATCACGGTTGTGGTTTTTGGTGGAGAGGGATTTCAGTTGAAACGGAAGGCATCTCAGTTGAAAGGAATATTTTTCGGTCTTCTCCGTTTGCCGCTCGTTCCATTCCATCATGTCTGCTCAGCAGCCTGGCAAAAAGCTTTAACTGATGCAGCAGCGTTTTAAGTAGATATTCCTGCCTCAGCGGACTTTTCGAACGCTATCGAACGTCGGCCATAACCGGGCCGCAAACGACTCGTTGGAGCTGCAATGGGAACACGCATGGATGGTCAGCTGTCGTCCCTCTTCCCGTCCCGCACGGCCCACTACAGCTCCCCTGTGTAGGGAGAGACTGTGCACCCGAATATCAAGCACAACTCTGCTTTGCTCTGCAATTGATTTTAGTGGTGTTGAGGGAGAGGGCAATAAATTAAAGATCACAAAAAGCATTATAATGGAGGAATCAATAGATAAGGAGACAAAGAGGAAAGATGATAAATGCCTAGTCATTTCCGATGTATGACATCTTATTGTGTTACCTGCATTGAGTTTTTTTTAAACTTTTTCTTCCATATTGAAGAATGAAAGCATTTCTTAATCGAATGTATACACTTTTATTCTACTGCGGTCAAGCCAGCCAGCCGCCCGCATGTTATATTGCGGTGCGCGAATATCCTATGCATTACGGTAGAGGCCTGGAAAAACTGCCTTCAAAATAAAAGTGCTTACTCTGTCAATAACAAATATACCAAACATATTCATATATACTGGAGATTAAATTAAGAAATATGTACAATATAATGTGATCAATAATCATTTAAAACAAACTACGTATAACTAACACATTATAACTGAGTGAATGTAAAACTTAAGGAGTTTAAAAATAAAATACTTTTGAAATCTCATATGGGCCTTCTGTTTTTAGATAAGAATAAATACAAAACTGTCAATCATCAAATACTTATTTCACTTCAGGGTGATAGCAGGACACCCCACTCAGAGAAAATCAGAACATTCTGGTGTAGAGTTTCAAAATAAAAGACCTTTGAAATCTCTATTATATGAGCCGTCATCCCTCTGTTTTTAGATAAGAATAAAACAAAAACCCTCCAGTATCAAAGACTCATTTCACTCCAGGGTGATAGCATCATTCACCCTGGAGTGAAATAAGTCTATGATACTGGGGAGTTTTGGTTGTTCATATATAATAGAGATTTCAAAGCTGGTCTTTTATTTTGAAACTCTACATCAGAATGTCCTGATTTTCCTTCATGTGACAGGAAGGCCTTCCTTTTTGAACCGAAATGCAAATTAATTCAATACTGAACTCAGCGTTTCACATGTGTGTGTGAGAGCGTTTCACATGTGTGTGTGAGAGCGTTTCACATGTGTGTGTGAGAGCGTTTCACATGTGTGTGTGAGAGCGTTTCACATGTGTGTGAGAGCGTTTCACATGTGTGTGTGTGAGAGCGTTTCACATGTGTGTGTGAGAGCGTTTCACATGTGTGGTGAGAGTCGTTTTCTATCATGTGTGGGAGAGCTGTTTCAATGTGTGTGTTGAGATCTTTCACATGTGTTTGAGAGCTGTCATGTAAGTGAACGGTTATTTCGGCCCCCTCATAAAAATAAATCTCCGTCCTCCGTGTTTTATTTATATTATTTATTTGTATATAGATCGTTATTATTGGTTTTCAAAGCTCAATAAATAACATAAGAAAGCTTTTGATGCCGCACCCTTCTAATTTGTGTCGGGAAAGAAATGAAACTTTAGAAAAAGAATTTAACTGGGTTAGGGTTCAACTGAAACTTGCCGCGACGGTCCCCTCGTTTCCTTGGAGAGCGGAAGTGGTTGTGCCGAGAATAGCTCTCTGGGACTACCGGAGGAGATTACAGTGCGCTTGCCTCGATCTGGGAAGGATTACTTTGAATTAAAAGCAGCGGGAGCAAACGGCTTGAAGGCAACCATGCGCAAAACCATGCGCGGTGGGAAGTCTTCTTCGGCTGCTTTTGTGGCAGACGCTACAGCGCCACTTACAGGGCCTGGCATATGTACTACAGCGTCTCGCCAGCGCGTTCGAGCGCGGCGAATGGCGCCGGCGAGTTGGGCCCAACCGCGTCAACATGTACAAAGAGTACAAAAGTGCATTTTGCGAATGATACCACCTATCTACTTGCATAAACTTTGTACTGTCTTTAGAAATATATATATTTTTGAAATAATAGTATATTTTCAATATCTTAATAAGCGTTATATGATACTAAAACCAATTCCCAGGCCAAATATTTTATTGCCATTTTCACTTTCAGGTAAATGTGTTCACTGTTCAAACACACCAAGTCGGACTGTGCAATTCATCCTAATTTTAAAACCAATTACAATTATGTGCCGCCACAATTACGAAAAACAAATATAATCGAAAACGAATTATTGCTCTTGCAACGTTGTGACAGGCAACATAGTTTCATACCAT